AACAATCAGATCTCTGATAGCAGATGGAGCTTGGCCATTTAAGGCTTTATATGTGAGAAGGAGGATTTTAAATTCTATTCTGGATTTAACAGGAACCACTAGTAAACCTGCAGATTGAGAGCGAAGTGCTCTGTTAGGAACATAAGGAACAATCAGATCTCTGATATCAGACGCTATTTGCTGCAGCTGTAGGCTGGAGGCTGCTTTCCTATCAGCACTGGAGTTTAACTGAAAGGAACCAGAACAGGAACTGGGAACAGGAACTGGGAACAGGAACTCGCCTCAGACTTTATTTACGGAGCTCATTTAAAAGGGGAGAGGATGATGCTGCAGATGGCCGCCACTCCACCCATGGACCGCTCCTGGTGGTTAGGGCTGGGAATCCGGAGGTTGTGAGTTCAAAACCCACTTCCACAGACTGCCACTCTGGGTCCATGAGCAAGACCCTTAACCCCACACTGCTCCCCAGCAGCAGCAAGGATTGCTCTTCGATTGCTTCTCCTAACAGGAGCTATGCTAGCTATGCTATGCTATCAGAGAATATCGCTCATGAACAACAGGTCTGAGGATACGTGACCTGTTTATTATTAAATAAGCATGAATCAAACATTAGGGTCTAATTGATGGGCTGCAGAGGAAGGAGACCACAGCTGTGGGATCAGGAGGATGCAGCTGGTCCTTATCTGAGTCAGATGATGAAGACCAGGAGCTTCTCCATCTTGTGACTCCATCCAGGTGCTGGAGGCTGGACCCCTTTGGACTCAGACCGCTACCAGTGGCTGCAGATAGACCTGGGCTCCAGGAAGCAGGTGGTTTCCATAGCAACCCAGGGCCGCTACAGGAGCTCCGATTGGACGAGTCAGTACCAGCTGCTGTACAGTGATACACCCAACAACTGGAGGCCCTACTTGAAGAACGGAAACATTTGGGTAAGAGAGGAACCAGTGGATCTACTGGTTTGCTGCCATTTAGTCCAGTTAGTTTGGAGCTGATCTGATGGTCTGCCTGCTTTCAGACCTTCAGGGGGAACAATAACAGCGAAGAAGTTGTCCGGGAAGAGTTCCAGCATCCCATAGTGGCCCGCTACGTCCGCTTCGTCCCGCTGCACTGGAGCCTGAGGGGGCGAGCTGGAGTCCGTCTGGATCTGTACGGCTGCTCCTACTGTGAGTTCTGATCAGAAATAACCAGAACCATCATCGCTTCGCTGGTTCCTCACTGTCTGTCTGTCTTTCAGGGGCTGACGTCATCAGCTTCGATGGCCACAGCATCATCTCCTATCGCTTCAGGAGCAAAAAGATGAAAACTGTGCGGGATGTTATTTCTCTGAAGTTTAAAACCACGGCCAGGGATGGGGTGCTGCTGTATGGGGAGGGACAGCAGGGAGACTTCATTTCCCTGGAGCTCCGCAGGGCTGCGCTGGAGCTGAGCATCAACCTGGGTAGGAGCTTCAAGGACCAGAAGGACCTTCTCCCCTCGCTGATGTTCTCCACTGAGCTGAGTGTTGCTTTTCTGCAGGGAGCAGTCAGTACAATCTGATCGAGGGTCAGACCTCTGTGAGCAGTGGGAGTCTATTGGATGACGGTCACTGGCACTCGGTTGTCATGGAGCGTCACCGTAGAAACATCAACTTCACCCTGGACCACCACACCCATCAGTTCAGGACCAATGGGGAGTTTGAGCACCTGGACCTGGACTATGAGGTAAAGCCTGACTGCTGTTAATCCTCAGGAGCAGATCAGGGATCCATTAGGAATGTCTGGAACATTCCACACAATGCAGGCAGATGGAGCCGGATTTAAAACGGAAAACTTCTCAGTCAACAGGACCTAACAGCTGGATGAGGATGATGATGGTGGTGATGATGATGATGATGATGNATCAGAACCGGTCCAGTTAGTATGAGCCGATCAGAACCGGTCCAGTTAGAATGGGCCAATCAGAACCGGTCCAGTTAGTATGGGCCAATCAGAACCGGTCCAGTTAGTATGGGCCAATCAGAACCGGTCCAGTTAGTATGGGCCGATCAGAACCGGTCCAGTTAGTATGGGCCGATCAGAACCGGTCCAGTTAGAATGGGCCGATCAGCCGTTAGGAGGCGGATCCAGCATATCAGAAGTTCTTTGATGTTCCTCAAATCTCCTTCTTATTTCTTTGTGGTTTTGATGGTTCTGCTAATTTCCCCAATGTGGGACATTAAAGGGATTTTCTATTCTATTCTATTTTATTCTAATGTTGCAAAGCTCTTCATGGTTCCGTTCCTGGACCTCAGCCCGGGTCCCAGAATGTCTGCAGTCCACCATGTTGAGCTGGTTCCCTGCTGCTTAGAGCGCTGGGTGGACCGATCCATGAGGTCAGAAGGTCCTCAGAGATCCGCTTGGTTCCGGTCTGAGCCGGTTTTTCCGGCCTATCATTGAGCAGCCTTCCTGAGTGCAGGTGAGCAGCAGGTGACCCGTGGCGTCTGTGTTCCTGCAGGGAGGTGTGAGGACAGCTTGGTGACGCCTCTCCTCAGCAGAGCCTTCAGCAGCTCATCAGAGTACGGCCGAGGATACGCTGCAGCTTTCGCTAAACTCAACGGCGTGCAAGGTAGGGCTGCATGACGAGCAGCTGTGCTCGCACCATTAGTGAACCCTGAGTCTCCTCTGAAGCTGTCCTTCTACCTGCTGCTGGTCAGTCCACTGTAGTCCTCCTCTCTGCGGACAGACGGCAGAGCCACAGGCGCTATCCATCACCTAGAAACCTTCCTCTGGAACTGGAGATGAAAACTTCTTCCTTTATTCCAATGCTCTCTGTCAGTAGAAATATTCACACAAACATCTGATCTTTATTTGTCAACGTTTTCACTATATTTTCCTGTTAAAAAAAGCA